CACACCCACACCCATACCCACACCCACACCCACACCCACACCCACACCCACACCCACACCCACACCCACACCCACACCCACACCCACACCCACACCCACACCCACACACAGACATCCACAGCCACAGCCACACCCACACCCACATTCACACCCACACCCTCGTCGATATCTTGAACCGACTCGTATATTAAAATGGTTAGAAGATCGTTGGAAGAATTCTAAAAATGCTATAAGTGGTCGTGGTAATCAAGCATATTTATTAGCTTCAGCTTTAAGTTATGATGATTGGGTTCGAAATAATCATGAATTACAAGTTTGGCAAGCCTACCTTAAAATGGGTACGGAACAAAAACATTGGGTTAAAGAAGTTATTCGACGTACAAAACAACGTGATGATTTAATTAACATTCGATTTGTACAGAAGAAAATTAATCGTTTAACAACCGATATTGCTAGAGCATGTGCTACTATTTCAGAACTTCAAATGCAGTTATCTACATATTGGATGCAAACAACTTGTGAAACTGAAAATCAAAGATTAGCCCAAAAAACAGCTAATACAGTAGCTAAAAAGTTATCAGTAGAAAAAGCACGTTCAACAGTAGCTACGGGACCTGTAGGAACAGATAAAGAAGATGAGTTAGCTACAGAAACTACCGAAATAGTTCAACCTGCTGCTACCACTACTACTACTAAAAATCATGCTCCTGAACCAGTTGAACGTATTGAAAAGTATATATTAGATTATATTCATTTTTGTACACAACATATGAAAAAATTAGCACAATCTCGAACACGATTAGCTAAAGTTCAAATGGATGAATTTAAAGCATTAGAAGATTTCGAACAAATAGCTAGCCCAGCTCAATTGAATATTCATTTAATATTAAAACCTAAAATTAAGAATTGGTCTACAAAAAATAAAAATTATCAAATTTTGGCAAAACGTGTTGAATTAGATTTGCCTCAAAAAATTATTAAAAAAGTTGATTTTTCTTTTAAAACTGATGAATCAATTATTAGTCAAGATGAAGCTCAAGCCACATATAATCAAATGCGTAAAATCACGAAAGATTTTTGCACTCAAGCTATGACATTATATCTTCAATCAACTGCACGAGAAAATGAAGTCTTATCGAATGAAATTAAAGGTATTCTTGATAGACTTCCACAAGAAAATGATGATGGCTTTGATGCTGAACCTGGCTATGCTGCTTTTATACATTATCATGAATTACGTAAAAAAACAATAAAATTAGAAATTGAACAATCTCTTCATTTTTTATTCGAACAGCATGTCGAGAGCGATACCAACAATCCAGAACAAGAATTAATCGCTCCGACTATAATACGTTCGCTGGGCGAGGATTTCTCGCTCCAACAATAATTAATGAAGCTAATATTCGACTGATTGAAGAAGAACATGAATTGTTAAAATTAGGTCCAAAATTTATATTTAATGATCCAAAAATAGCAGCTCGACGACGTATTACAGAGTTGGCTACTTTAAAACGTTAAATAGAAAATTGTTTTCTTCGTAAGAAGGTGAGCCCCGGTCGTCCTCTTGAACAATTTATAGCTGAATTAGATGTTCTTCTTCAAACTTTACATAATGTTTCAATATCAAACAAAAATGTTAATAATAATATTAGAATAATTCGCAGTCGAATGAATAATAATATTTTTGAATTAATAAACAGTCAAGCAAGTCAATCACAATCAGAAACAATTACTAGAATTAAAGTTAAGAAAAAGAAAAACTATGGAAGATTAATTAAAAAATTGAAACATAAATTTAAATTGGCTAATGTTGTATTACAAAAAACAGATATATCAAAAGTTTTCCATTTAGGTAAAATTGAAGATTATCGTAAGAAATCTGAAGAGTATATGGCGAAGACTAAAGCATATAAATGCTTAGGAATAAATAATCCATTACCAGATTTAATTACAAGAACTTATAAATATTTACTAGATTTAAGATTAGTCAAATGGATTACTCAAAAACAATATGAAAAATTATGTATTAATCCATGTGAAGTCGAACTGGCTCAATTATATTACTTACCAAAAGCTCATAAGCTTGGTACTCCTTTACGTCCAATTATAAGTGGTCTCAAACACCCTACAATTAAAATATCAAAATTTCTTGATGAATTATTACGCCCATTATTTGATAAAATGGCTCAAGAAACCACAGTTACTTCTGGTTTTGAATTAGTCAAGAAATTACAAGAATGGTCAATTGTGAATATGAATCAAAATACTATATTTTGTACTATTGATGTTATTGATTTATACACAATGATTCCACAAGTAGAAGGAGTGTTATCATTGAAGAAAATGTTAGATTATATGGAACTTAAAAAAGTGGGCAGTTTAAAAATAGAAACTATTATTAGATTAAGTCGATTTGTGATGCAGAATAATTATTTTTCTTATGATAGCCAATTTTATCATCAAATTAGAGGTAGAGCTATGGGATCCCCTTTAACTTTAACTATGGCTAATTGTTATATGTTTTTCTTCGAAAGAGCAATTGCCAAACAAATTAAAAATAGTGGTGGACTCTATTTTCGATATATTGATGATATCTTTATTGTGATAAACTGGCCTATTCGACATTTATTTAAACAAATCGATAGATGGAATCATTTTGACGATAATATAAAGTTATCAGAAAATATTGGTTTTACAGTTGATTTTCTAGATTTACATATAGAAAATCAAGATGGCCAATTGTCTACTAGAATTTTTCAAAAACAATCTTATGAGCCATATTATTTACCATTCAATAGTATTCATCCGTTGCACATGAAAAAAAATATACTATTTACTATGTTACTCCGTGCTATTAGATACTGTTCAACCGTTCAAGCATATCTAGATGAACGCGAAAAGTTACGAATGGCATTACTATTAAATAAATATCCGAATAAATTTATTGAGGAACAATTTAATAATATTTTTAAAAAATTAAATATTGAACAATTGCTAACATACAATAATTATGCCCAATATCGTCAAAAAATTACAGATTCCCAGATAAAAGAAAAAGTACCTATAGATTATGGAAAAACAGTGTTCGTACATTTTACATACTGTTCAAATATGAGGACATTCCCAGGTAAATTCCATGTTTTATGGAATAAATATTTTGGTGAATCTCCCATCAATGATATTGTACCTATTCTTGGTACTTGAAATGTCAATAATATTCAACGACTACTAGTACACACAAGATTACATAATTCTAATCTAATAGAATAGTCAGTTAATTATATGTGTACATTAAATAATGAATGTAACCTAACAATTGGAAAAGAAAATCACATGACAGAAATGTCACGATCTAGATTGCAAAGCTTTCCAATGGATTTAATACATGATCATGATCGCTCAAATTATTATTAACTCAAGTTATCAAAACAATTCTATAAAAGCTTCAATGTAGTGTCAATTTAAATGAAATATTACAATATTTTTAAATTATCAAGTAACAAGGATATATTGGAAACAAGCTGAAGCATTAATTAGAATCAAAATAGTTATTGAAATTGAAATTCAAACTAGAATGATGATTTCAAACATTGCCCAAGCAATAATTACACTCGAGACATAAACTAAAACAGTTGAATTTGTTTATTATTGTTTATTGCATATTAAAATTATTGATTTTTGTATTGATTTTTTCTCTTTATCTTTCTCTGTAATTTTCTCAAAATATTGTATGTTATTCTATTTAAAATTTATGTTATTCTATTTGAAATGTAGTTTAGTATTATCAAGATGATACTTTGAAGTGGAAAATATTTCCAAGTTTTAAAGAAATTTCTTTACGTGTGCTTTTTATTGTAATGCAGAGCTCTGATGAGTGTTTCATTATTAAATAAATAACACGAAACGCGTCGGCGAAATTAAACTCTGCATTTCTTTTAATTATTTTGATAAAGCACAAAAATCTTAATCATTTTGTGTTGAATATAAATACGACTTGATTGGTTGCTGAGAAGCAAGAGTTGAGACTAGCAGATTGATTTGGATCAGAGAGATATAGATCGGTCTGTTTTTAAATAGAATTATATTTAATCTTTATATTTTCTTTATTTTGGGAGCATAACGATTCTATTTATCTTTATTTTAAAACGTTAAAGATATTCTTTGCAGTTGTTTTTTCAAAAAGAAAGACATTGTAAAATCTTCTATTTTCATCTTACAAAATGCATCACCAATTTTATTACCCACTTTTTTTGAAGAAACCATGAGTAAATATTTGTCACCATCGAAATGATGCAAGATCAAGCAACTTATCATTACGGTATGAGTGGAGGCAAGCAAGATTTTTCTTTATTTGAACAAGGAAGGATAAAGAGTAGGTGACGGCGGAATGAAAATTTCTTCGGAATATTAGGTTGCATCATATTCTCTGCGTGGAAAATACCTACAGTGAATGTTTCTCGGCATATAAAAGCAATAGTTATCGTACAAACTATACAGAGTGCGTATACTAGGATTAGACATTCTTAATATCATCGCTTCGAAGCTATTGTTTTTATTTTTCTAGAAGTTCACGTGGTGAAATGTCTTCTTCCCCTGTCAATTCTTGCTTAGTTTATGCACTCATCATTCTTATCCTAAGTTCACTGGTTTCAAGTGGAGCGGTTAGTTATGCAGTATGTTTCGCTACCTGTATGGCTACATGTGAAGGCGGAGCGGCGGCCGCAGTAGGTGCTGGAGCCGGTATAGTTGCAGGTGCTGCGACTGCTGGTATTGGAGCAGTACCTGCCGCGTTGGCTGCTGGTGGGGCCGCGGCGACGGCCGCTGCAGGCCCGTGTGCTGTTACATGTGCTGCTACTTGTGCATGGGCACTTCTTCCTTTTTTACCGTAACATACAAAACAACAAATTAATTTTCAATCGTTGCGACATACCAATTGCAATATTGCCTACCCTAATACCGAACGATATTGATGGTATTGGTGCTGGTATTCAGCGGTGCAGTCGGTAACGATAAACGGACGCTTCGGTTTGCAGTTCTTTTCCAGCCGGTAGAGAAGAATTTTTTCAGACCAGATTGGTCTAGGTTTTTGTCGTTTTTTTCTTTAGTTTTGCTGCTTTTTCGCATTTCAATACAGTGTTAATCGTATTCCAGATAAACTTGTTAAATAAAAGTAACCCGAAAAATTTACGATTTTCATAGTTTATCGAACCAAATAAGACAGCGATCTTCAGGGTGTGTGTGTGGACATTAACAAGAATAATCTATCTTCCAATTTTATGCTTTATCGAGAATGAGGGTGGGGACGGTTGAGTATGTTTGAAGAATATTCGAAGCTACTTAGAACACGTTTCGACCTAGCTTAAGGCTCTGATCAGGTAAATTTGGCATACGTACATGAGTGAATGTATGAAATAGAGCCGCAGATTCAAGTTGAAGATGTAATCGAGTTGAGAGCGAAAGTCCGAAACTTCAGGTGAAAGATCCAATATTGAGATTAGGGATGTTGCGTTATATTTATTGATCTGTATATTAAAGAATAAAGATAAATAAAAACTTGATATTTGTAAAATAAATATTAACGATTTGTAAAAGATTATATCAGATTAAAAAGAAGTCGCCCTACTATTTAACGAAAAAGCAAATCAGTTTGCTTGATTTGAGGTGATGCTTTACCGCAACCAGGTTTCAATAGATGAAACCTGTATTAAAGTTTTTACCAGAATTGAACGCCCAATAATAAATGGCAAACAAAATGGAGAGTTTTAATTTTGCTGGCGCGATTCATGTTATATATTTGAAAGTTTCAAACACTCATGAGAGCTTTGCATTTACAGTTGATAAGAAAAAGAGGAAACAGTAAAGGAAGAAAATGATTCCGAAAACCAGAAGTATAGAATGTTATAACACCGTATGAAATATGGGTAGCGAGATTACTATTATGCTCTCGATGTTAGATATGTGCATATAGAGTTTCTGCTCGTTAGCTATGAGGATTTTCCCACTCATTATGTTCTTCTTTCTTTTGTTCGTTTTTATGGAATTTTCCATTGGCAATTCTCCAGCGGTTGTTATAACTATATATAGTGTTGCGTTATTATTTAGAAGTGAGGTTTTTTTAAAGAGACACGTTTATAGAAATAAAATAGAAGTGAAAACAATATCTCACAATTACAGCTTAATACATAATGGCTAAATAAAAAGGTGACATATATATACAAAATGATCTGCACACGTCGATATAAAACTATTGTTTTAACAGGACTGCACTAGCTCTTGTCTTTGTATGTTTATTTTTACTGTTGTTGAATTCTCATTCGTGGGTTTCTGGACAGGATAAGTTTAAAAATGATCAATCCGTCTGAAGGAATTCATGCTACATAATTGTTTATTGTAATTCGTGGCATAGCAATTTTGACGTCAAGTCTATGGTCTGCCGATAGCGGAATATCTTTGTAATGTAGACTTTTAATTTATTTGAATATTCTAGTGCGAGTTAATTGTCGTTGAAGATTATCAACATTGCGAGTACCAAGAATTGGTCTGATTCCGCTAATAGGAGATTCACTAAAAAATTTATTCGAAAGGAAATGGAATTTAAAATGAAATGTTTTCATATTTACACAATATGTATTATGCATTTCAAAGTAGAAGATTCCTGACTGTTTCGTGAATAACTCTTGATAGGAACAAGAGAGAAAACTACGGTTTGCCCCATTCGAAAAGATAACTTGGAGGTATCGAACCATATAAGAGACATTTTTTCAAGTAGCTTGTCCCGATTTTCTAGAGACTCAGGTTTATAGAAAACTAGGGTTTCCGGAATTCCGGCACATTTCAAATTGTGGTGATACCAGCTTATAGCTCATGCTTTTCTCTTTCGAATGAAACCATCTCGATCTTCCTACAACCTTGTGGTAAGCAGCAAGACGTCTTACACTGGAAACCCTGATGGGAAAGTTCTTTGACTTGTACAGTGCACTTTCGTTAACTTTAAAATGTTTCACAGAGAGAATAGCAGCTTTTCGAATATCCTGAAGATCTTAGCATATTTTATTCAGTTTTACGACGTATCCACATTGGTATGAATTAACCCCATCTTAAAGTAGAGGCCTTGAGCATAGAGGATTCGACAAAGAAAAATAGTTATTCACGAACCACCAATCATTCATCTCTCTCGAACAGTAACATTAGCGTCTGAAATTCGAATTCGATTTTTATTCATAAGACGCATTCCAAGTGACAATAAAGAATGGCAAAAGATGAAGATTGGACATTAGATGTGAAACTATTGATGTTCCGAGTCATCAAATTTGTCGAACGTGAGAAGTCAGGATCGGTGATTCCGTTGTTTAACACAACCGATAGGCTGGAAGCGTTGCTTGGTATATCAAAAACATCTGTTTTCCTAATGCGAAGCGAAATGCTTAGCTTCGAAAGGAAACATGAGAAAGACGCCATAGAAGATGCAAATGAAGGCAACATGCCTTTACGATGTCGAACAATATCAGAAACATCAAACATATCGAATAAGTCACATCGAAAACGAAATTTAACAATGAACATCCCAAATGCACGTGCTTCTCAAAACAAAAGGCCATAGTGGAAGGAAATAGTGCCACCAATAAAGGACATTCAGGAGAGCGTAATTGGATAATCCCGAAATGACTTAATGCTTGAACAAGGGGGAAAAGCGGATCCTGGATCCTCGCATCCTGTGGATCCTGATGGATCATAGTGAGCCCCGTGCGTTCTGGTGGATCCTGGTAGATCCTGCGGATCCTGGTGGATCCTCATAGAACCTGATGAATTATAGAATAAGTCTTTTGAAGTATCACGAAAAGAAGATGAAAACAGCTGAGCCTAATAGATGCAAGAACCCATTAGAGTCCAAAGAAACTAAATAAAAAAAAGGAAAAAAGTGACATCAACACTTGTGACGAAGAAGAAAAAGCAGATCCATGACACTGAAATGCTTATATGTCTCAGTATCTTTTGGCGTATCATGTTCGATTGTGCGAATTTTTAGGACCCATCAGGATCTACGCTTCCTCCATCGATCTCGTAGTATCTTTATGCGTAGTGGTTTCTGCTATGTTCTGGTTGTCTCTGATATTTTCTAATGGATTTTATCGAAATGTAATTAATTATGGTAGGTTATGAAAACGTTGGCACACTTCGATAAATCTATGCTACAATCTATTAGGACCCATGAATCCATCAGGATCCGCTTTTTTCTCGATTGACATCAGTGTACCAGAAGTTGACTCAATTTGCTACTCTAGTCTCTATCCTGTTTTACATTTAGAAACTCTAAAAGGATCTGGTAGGATCCTGAATGTGAAGATTCTTGTCATGCTTTATTCAAGACTCGCCTTCGAGTTTTAGTGACATCAGTTTGCAGAACACTTGATTGTGAAAGAGGAGCCTTCTAAGAATCTTTTCAAGTTCCTACTGAGATTTTTTGTTTGTTTGAAAATGAAGGATCCTACTTCAATTCACTCTCAGTCTTACTCAGGACTTGGCAGAAATAACAGAAAGAATGTTGCTTAGATGTTATCCAAGTTTTACCAGGATCTGTTCGGAATATTTTCACCATCTTCCTCTCCAACTTACAGTTAGATCAGACGAGGATCTTACAAAGAATAATACAAGAGCAGTGAGAACACTCAACTGATGAATCCTGCCAATGTTCAATCAGAATCCTATCTTGTTTTTTACGTGATCTTGTTATGAAAATCTCTTCTAGCCACACTGTAAAAAAAAGTTACTTTCTGAAACCTCAAAAAAAGGTACGGTAGATGACAAAAAGTTTGCAAATGTGTTAAAAGTTTAAAAAAACGAATAGAAAAACCCCGGAACCTTTAAAGGATCTTACCGTGTACCCTAGTGAAGATCGTTTTTTCTTCGAAACCTTTTTAAGTTCCGTTCACCAAAAAAAAAGGTTTTGTAGGAAATTACGAAACCTTTAAAGTTTAGCATCTAGTATAATAGTTTTAGAGAACACCCAGTACGAAACCTCGAGGTTCAATACGAAACCCTAAAGGTTTCGTACTTTCCTACAAAACCTTTTTTTTTGGTGTACGGAACCTAAAAAGGTTTCGAAGAAAAAACGATCTTCACTTGGGTACACGGTAAGATCCTTTAAAGGTTCCGGGTTTTTTTTATTCGTTTTTTAAACTTTCAACACATTTGCAAACTTTTTGTCATCTACCGAACCTTTTTTTTTGAGGTTCCAGAAAGTACCTTTTTTTTTTACAGTGCATTTCCAGGGTCCCATTCAGATCTCTTCAAGGACAAGCATTTAGGATCCTTCCTAGAAAATGTCACGGCGATTACAATCTTTCTGAGAAATTATCAAGGCTGAACGAAGATCTTTTCAATTTTCATGTGGAGTTTGTTCAAAGCTTCATTTTGAGGAATCTGGAAGATTTATGATTGACCTGTTTCACACTTGAAAAAAAATGATGAAAAGGTTTCACCAAAATTCTAAGCAGTTCCAGCTTAAGGTTCTTTAAAGATGTGCGAACCTTGGAATCTCAATAAATTACACTGCATGGTAAGTAAAATATTAACAGCTACAAACAGAAAAGCTACTCAAGATTTCACCATATTTTTTGTTTAAAGTCTGACAGAAACGCAGCAGTTCAAGAACATGCCTGAATCTTATTCTGATATTCATTTGCATCTCTATGAAGGTGAATGGAAGAATTCGTGCAAAATCTTAGAAGGTTTTTCTTCAAATTTTTTTAAGATTTATATTGACTATGGTATGATATTCATGGCATGGGACCCTTTACCTGTCGGATTTTATTGTCATATAATCCTTGAAAACTCACTAAAATGAAGATTTTAATATCAGTTTAACTGTTACATTAACTTTTCCTTTCAAAAGACTTACAGTAAGAGACAAGTACTTCAGTAAAAATTTCTAATGCATTTCGTTCATTCGTGTTAAATTAGTTTAAAAAATTACTTTTTCATTCAAACTGAAATCAATAAGCGATAGTAAAATTTCATGATAAATAATCAATGTATTGAGCTTAATATTTAATTTTTCGAATATTTCTTGGAATAATATGTGCTTGTACAAAGTGTAAATACAAGTTAATAGTTCAGAGAGAATTTAAAATGCCGACGGCTTAAGTGCAATTAAATGATTCAGTACAGTCTACTGCGGTAAAGTAATCGATTTGTAAACTGTAGACCTAGTGATCAATACTCTGTGCGTTCATTTCTCCTCTTTTCTGCCTAGAAAACCTTGCAAAGATTCCGTCAAGAAAAGGGATAACATCGGCAAAGAATTTAAATGAAGTCCTGCGAGATGCAATTAGAATATATTTTTGCAATTAGATATCATTGAAATGCTAACAAAATCCTGAAATAAAATTGACGAAAAGGAACTTGAAATGCTTTTAAGATCTTGTTCTAATCCTAGAAAAATCGTTGTTGCTTCATGACTGCACGTTTCTCTAAAGATTTATCGCTTCCTTAAAATATTCCTTATTAAAATTGTTTTGCTAAACAGCTCAGAAACCAGTGAAAACTGTGTTTTAAATCTTGTTCAAGTTATGGAATTCTGTGACTACACGATTTTTTCAAGATTTCGCAGCTTCTTGGATGATTTCCGGTTGCAAAACAGTAATAAATTGTTCACGATCTTGATCGAATTCCAATTCAAATCGACTTAGCACCTTAAAACTTCGTGGAGACACCTTTTTTCAGATATTCTTGTTCCCTTAGAAAAAACGGTGAACCTGTGAAGGACCTTTGTCAGATACGTCAGAGAACTGTTCCAAAACATCAGATATTTTCCATAAGGAAAATTCATCATTATTCGTTACAGTCTATTGAGGTTCACAAGAGTTCAGCAGAAACCACCAGGTTTCATAATGATATGAAATAAATATGGAAAACCTGAAAATTGAGGGAACCTATTAGATCGTATAAGCAACAGAATCCATCAAGATATATCAAAATTTATCGTTACTCATCTGAGTTTCAATCTCCAGGATTTCCTTTCTCTTCCTTGTCAGAAATTTCACGGCCGATTCTCTGTCTTTTTACTTAGTATTCAAGGATTCTAATCGATCCGCATGAATTCGAGTAGATCCTGGGATATATCAGAACTCACTCTCTTTTCTTTGTAAATACGTGTGGGTTATTCAGAGTTGCAAAAATAGCACCTGAAGATCACATTGATTCATCTAGAACACAGTTTGGATTTTATATCCTTCTTTTATGAATCTCGTTAATTTTCTTGGGTTTTCTGAATATTCAGAACATTATCCTATGCTGATGGATCCTAATGGGTCCTGGTGGATCCTGGTGGATCCTAATGGATCCTATGAATTCTGATGGATCCTAGGATTCACAAGGATCCGCTTTTTCTCCCTTGGCTAAAAATTTCTCCTTTACGAGCAAAGACAAATATACAATTACTGTCTTAACCGTTTCTGATTGTTGACGATAAATGTAAATCCTAATGAATACTCGTTTATTCATTCGTCGTCCAATTCTAAATACTGCTATTGGCTCCGTTCAGAAAATTCTGTAAATCCTCATTTCAGAAAAACAGAAGCGTAAAACTAAATGTATCGTTCATAACATCAAGACATCCGAGCAGTAACAAAGACATTTGAAAAGAAAATTTTTGTAATCCCTTCAAAGAGAACGCCACCATATAAAAGAAGAGCACTCAAAATAGAGCGCCATTTCTGATCACTGAGTTCACTAAGCAAAACAGAACGCCGTGCTATTTTATTTGGTCCATAAAAAATAGGTTATCCATTAACATACCAACAGTCTCAAGAATTCCATAAAATTGAAAAATAACTAAACAAAGCTCAAGAGCATTATTTAATACAATTATATAAACAATCAAATAAATAATTAAAAGTGTCGAAAATAGAGAAAAATAGATACAAAACAGACATATTTATTTTCTATTTTATTTATTTTTTTGTGGTACTGTTTTCGTCTGTTGACTTTTTATATACTCTTGATCAAAAGTTATAGAAAAACTAACAAACTAGAGAACTTTTAAAAAAATACATACTAGAACGCCGTCAAAAAGAAAGCGTTTTACTATAATTTAATTGAAAAGGCATGCATTTTTTTGAGAGAGGGTTAGTAGAAGTTAGATTTCTACCGGAAAAATCTTTCGTTTAGGATGGTCAAGCATTGCTAGTATGAATAGTGCACGAAAAGAGCATACAGCAAGTTTACTTTCTAATGGAAGAGTCTTGGTCGCTGGTGGAGTCAATGCTACTGCCATCTTCGCTAGTGCAGAACTGTACGATCCATTTACTGGACAGTGGACAATGACTGGTAGCATGAATGATGCACGAACTAGTCACGGGGCAGTAGTACTCTTCAATGGAAAGGTTCTTGTTTTTGGCGGATCTGATTCCGTTGATTTTTAAATAGTGCGGAACTATACGATCCAGTTACTGGATATTGGAATAAGACTAACAGTATGAGTACTTCTAGATCCTGGAAAGCGCCAGCAGTACTACTCCAAGATGGAAGAGTCCTAGTCATTGGTGGAGTTAGTTCATCCAGCGATTTGTTTACTCCAGAAATATATGATCCATCTACAGAACTGTGGACTATGACTGGTCGCATGAATAAACGGAAATCTGGTCACACGGCGTCACTACTTCACAATGGAAAGGTCTTCGTCGCTGGAGGATTTAGTCTAGAAAGCAACTTCGCGATGAATACAGAACTTTGCGATCCTTCTACCGGAACTTGGACGCCTAGTGGTGTTATAAACGGCGGAAGGATTTATCACACAGCATCGATGCTTCCAAATGGAAAAGTCTTGCTCGCTGATGGATGTAACTTTAATTATTGTTTAAACACTTCCGAGGTTTGCGACCTATCTACAGCACGATGCACAATGAGTGGCAACATGACAACTGTGCGATGGTATCACACAACATCGATATATAGCAATGGAACAGTGTTTGTCACAGGTGGGGCTAACGGTGACAATAATACAGAACTTTATGATCCATCTGCAGGAGTCTGGACGCCCGCAGACAGCATGAGCACAACAAGAACACAACATACAGCATCAACTCTCCCTAATGGAAAAATCTTAGTGGCCGGTGGGTACAAGTTTGATTATACTAATAATAATTATACTTATTTTAATACTCCAGATATATTTACATGATTACTCACATGGGGAAATATCACTTATCGTACTTTTGACTAAAACCTTTTTCCATGTTCCTATGAATTTCTGTTCAATCTTTTGACAAGCATTCTCTGAAGTACAATAGCTTTACACTTAATCTCTTTGAACATCCTTTTACACATATTTCTTTATATTGTGACTACTATGATGTTTTTTGGCTGTGGGTGTTGCTGTAGATAGACAATACTCACACCCATCCATCACGAACTGCGCTAATCGATAGCATGCTTGTATGAGAAATGGTCACAAGGAAAAGAGAAACAGATATGATCAAAATCATTAAAACAACTGAATATTTTAACATACATAAGAATATAAAATACAAAATACTATCGTATGCTTCTATTCATTCCAATGCTATTCTATCATGACTCTATTCTTGAAAAGCAAAATGGAAGGTCACCCAGTAATCTAATAAAAAAATACAGCAGATATACCGTCATTGACTTCTTGCAAGTAGTGTTTGTTATTTAAAGTTGTTGTATTCTGTTTGTGTACTCAAAAACTGAGTACAGTCAAGAATCGGTCGGTGTGTCCAGCCGTCCGTTTACACGATAAATTTCAAAAGAAGAGTCCGATCGCTATGAAATTTTCTACATAGTTCAATGTTTATAATATCTCGGTCAAGTTCGAAGATCAGAAGGATTGACCCAACCACTCCAGAGTTATTGCAAAAATACCGATTTTTTTCCCATGGCTCTTCTATGCTTTTCTATGGGAAGATCAATATATCGTCGCTTTCGTAAGAGGGTGTGGGTGTGGTTGTGGTTGTGGGTGGGGGTGTGGGTATCGGTGTTGGTGTCGATGTGGGTGTAGGTGCGGGTACGGGTGTGGGTAGTGTGGGTGTGGGTATGATTGTGAGTGGGGGTGTGATTGAAAGTGTGGGTGTGGGTGTGATTGAAAGTGTGGGTGTGTGTTACTGATTATACCTTCACCGAGACCCAACACCCACACCTACACCCACACCCACACCCACACCCACACCCACACCCACACCCACACCCACACCCCCACACCCACACCCACACCCACACCCACACCCACACCCACACCCACACCCACACCCACACCCACACCCACACCCACACCCACACCCACACCC